TGTGTTTTGTCTGATTTGGAGACATCTGATAACTTTGTATTAATAGTTGCTTGTTCAATCTCTACATCTTCTGCCACCTGTCCTCTCTGATTTTGCCTTCGTTTACCTTTTCTTCCAGCTTCCTTTGACAATTTTTGTGGTTCCTCTGGTCCCTCGGAACAATCTGACGCATGAACCTTAAAATGAAAAAGAAAATTTACTCACTCATCACCTTTTGTACAGCTAAGCCTTGATATATGCAGAATTTAAATACCCAATGTTTTTGCCAAAGTATCTGTCATGAACAATTCTGATAATTCATTGCTTTTTTTAAGGTGCCCATTTCATTTGGGCTTGACATACATCCTGTTAACTGAAAGCGAATCATAAGATTTTGTTCGAATCTCTCTTCTTTGTATTCTTCCTTATGAATATTTACGTAGTTTGAGCAATATTGAGAAACATGGACTCCAAAACACTAAACAAGTCCAAATTTAAAACAAAATTTACTATACAGATAGAATTAACTGGTATTGTACTGTACCTACTGATTCTAAATTTGTGAGGGTCTCAGGGAATGTAACATCTGCAAATTTGGATGTACCTTACCTTATACCTCTGATGAGTTTCAAGTCTTTCTACTCCTGGAGCCCGACTATAGGACAAGCTCATCTGGTGCTAGCCTTGTCAACCAGGCTGTTGTTGCTGGAGGTCCACTGCCCCACATATCCATCACAGCCTGGTTGATCTAGCACTGCACTTACCTCCAAAACTCTAGCTAAATGGTTTCCCTTAATTTTTTTTATATTACCTTACACTCCAACAGAACCTAAAATCTGGAAAAAACCTTGTCTAAACACACAGTAATCTAACATGCTCACATATGGTTCCTCAATGTTCAAGCCCCTACCACTAAAAACTTTATTTATTCCCTCCTTTTAAAAACCCTTCCTGGGATATTCCCTACAACTTTCACTGACTCTGGATTTACACAATCCTTTGATCAGCCTAATCCATTTAATGTACAAATTATTAATATTTAAGTGATTTTCAATGAAATAAAAAAACGATTAGCAAAATACTGTATTACTGGAATTACAAAAGACTAATCAACAGCTTTTGACTGCCCCAACCTTCATCTCCACCATGCTGACTCATTAGACTGAAACCAAATTTTTTAAAAACTAATAAGAACTGGATACTGCTAATTACTGTTCATAGGAGAATCAGATACAGTATGTTTTATAGAAATAAAAACCAGGAACGATTAATATTTTCATGCCAAATATTTACCTCAATCTGTTCTATAGAGAATAATTTTTGGCAGAGAGGACATGGCATCATATTTTTATTAATGTCTTCCATCGTTTCAGTACTGCATGCTTGTTCATTATCATTAAACCCCTGTGAAAAGAAAATACAAAACGTACATTAAATCAGAATAAATTGAACATGAAGAAGCTACTACAGTACATGGTAATTATGCACTTGCATTTAAAAAGATTTAAAAAAATCTCATCACCTGGACTGACTCTACCCTGGCACTCTCACATTTTAATCCTTCTGTTTAATACCTTACTTTGTTTTATTTGCATTCACTTTAAACCTTTTCTTAGGCCTTTCACCATTTCATACATCACCTGGTTGGTTCCCAACAAGTGTAAATTTGCCAGGAAAAATACACCTGCTCATAAAAGCTTTTGTACTATTCAGTAAGAAACAATAAGGTTTCTGTATCTAACCTAAAAAAATATTAAATTCAGATTTTTTGTGTTGTATGAATGCATACTGAGTTATGTCAAATAAGGTTAAAAGTATTCCAAACACAATTCATACATTGTAACACAAAGTAACACAGTCCTTCATTTCTTTATGTACGATGTAAAGAAACCATCAGGCTAGGTCAAATTTTCAATGATTCAATATTTTCAAGTACTGTGTATTTGTGTTGAAATAAACAGACCAATTTACTCACACAGCCTTTGTAATGTATCAGATTCATCCCTGTCTCCATTATCAACAGAGAGCAATCACACACAAAAATGTGATAGTGTTGCATCATTAATTTTCTGATAGTTTTCTTCTTTTGGCACATTCAAATTCCAGCACCATTGGATCTATCATTTTCTGCATTCCTTAAAATTATCCTCCTCTTTTCTTTTTAACACACTGGCCACCTCATATCAAGGCAGGGTGACTCAAGTACACACATTCAGCATCACTCATTTGACAGTAGTCTTGCCAAAGGTACACAGATGGTACAATTCTAGTAACCCTCTGAATTGCAATATCCCCACCTCTTCCTCTATGAACTTCCCCCTCCTTCCCCCATAGATTCTAAAGTCCAGCTAACTGGTTTCCTGGAATCCATTCATAAATGTTACTTAGCTCACACTCCAATAGCACATCAAACCATAAAAACTCCCCATTTCCACTCACTCCACTCTAACACACTCATAAGCTTGTTGGGTGCTCAAATCCTACCACTCAAAACCTCCTTTACCCTCTCCTTCCAACCCAGATTTTTATTCTTATCAATTTTCTAATTTCTAAAATGTCAAATATTTTGCCTATTGGTACCTTCTTTCCTCCTTTCCATCTATTTTGACATTTATGTGCCTTAAATGTGTAAGTAATTCTTTACCTTTCTACATATTCCTTTTTCAGTGCAAAGATTTTTATGCTTGCACTGAAAAAGAAGATTCTGGCATATCATTCATCTTCTAAGCATATCATTCATCTTTAAAATAAAAAAAAAAGGGGGCAGGTTCCAAACCACTATGAATAGAAACCCAGTTGAAATAAATATTATCACTATCTACCTTTGAGGATTGCTCTTTTCAGATTAACCAAGCAGATTATTATATTAATGGGGAAAAGCCAAACCTGTGAGGATCATACAGCACCTAGCAGTGGCAACACCTAGGGGAAGCCTGGGGGCTTCAGCCCCCTAAAATTTCCTCAGTTCCCAGAGCTCCCCAAATTAACTATTTTAGTGGCCATCACACAGAACATCATCAATGAGGCCAGGGTCCCTCACATAATTCTACATCACGAGCTGAGCTCACTCAGATAAGCTGTGAGTGGTAAACTGTGGCCTATATTCAGATTCAGATTCATTTATTTCTTTGCAAGTAGTACATTGAGATCATATTTTTACAATGATGGGTTGTAGTGCAAAGAGAGCCTCTATTATGCCTTGGCATTATGGACTGACTTATTTCAATGGTTTACTGACTACTTATCACTTAAGAAATTATCATAGTTGTACAGTAGTTCTATTAATAATAAGTGACTAATTTACACAAACAAAAGGATTTTTTTTTTTTTTTTTTTTCAACAAGTCGGCCGTCTCCCACCGAGGCAGGGTGACCCAAAAAAGAAAGAAAAGATATATTCATGTATTCAAAAATGCTTTTGTATGAAACATGATTCAGTAGTTTACAGTATGAGACTGCTACAATTTGGTGAAGGGTAATACTGGTTTTGGTAGGTATGTATATTTCTATGTGGTAATTTGTCAATATATGAGCTTGGTTGTCTAGTCATGAGGATTTAAGATTTAGGTAATTGGTAGATTTATTGGTAGTGTTAGATATTGTGTATTAAGTATTTAGTCTAGGGTGATTAGGTGGCTTTTGAGAAGAGTCTTAAATTGATTTTCAGACCGAGATACTTTGGTATTTTCTGGTAATGAATTCCAAATTTTGGGGCCCTTTATGTGCATAGAGTTTTTACACAGTGTGATATGGACACGGGGTGCATCAAAAAGAGATCTGTGTCTTGTGTTACGATCGTGTGTCTTGTTAAGATTGGTGAGGAAACGTTTGAGTGGAGGGTTTATGTTTGCGTGTATTGTTCTATGTATGAAGTAGGCACGTGAATAAGTATGGTGTTCTTAATGGTGAGCAGATTTAGACTTTTGAATATTGGTGGAGTATACTGTCGGGAGTGGGTATTTGTTATCATTCTGACTGCTGCCTTTTACTGGATTATTAGTGGTCTTAGGTGATTTAATGTTGTTGATCCCCATGCACAAATTCCATATGTGAGATAAGGGTAGATGAGTGAATGACACAGTGCAAGGAGAGCTGATTGTGGAACATAGTACCGTATCTGTGATAGTATGCCTACAGTCTTAGAGATTTTCTTGGTTATTTGTTGTATATGTGTCTGGAACTTGAGGCGGCTGTCAAGGTGGATTCCTAGGAATTTTCCCTCTGTGAGTTTTGTGACGGGTGACCCGTTTAGCTTTATGTTCAGTGGAACACTTGCAGCTTTGTTTCCAAACTGAATGAAGTAGGTTTTGTCAGTATTCAGTGTAAGTTATTAGTCATCATCCAGGCAGATATTTTCTGCAATTCAGCATTAACTGTGTTGGCGAGTATGACTGGGTTTGGGTGAGAGAAGACATATGTAGTGTCATCTGCAAATAATATGGGTTTGAGAAGCTGTGATGCATTTGGTAGGTCATTGATGTAGAAGAGAAAGAGGAGTGGTCCAAGGACTCTTCCCTATGGGACTCCGACTGTGATTGGTTGTGTGGAAGAGTCTGCACCATTCGTGTGCACATATTGGCTTCTGTTGCTAAGGTATGACTTTAGGTAGTTGAGAGAATGGGTCTGTGGTGAGTGTGCACAGTATGAAAAAGAGAATCCTACCCCATGTGGTGCATAATGGGAAAAGCAAGACTGACCATGTGTTTGGTTTAAAATAGTGACTCTGAGGTATTTGCTTGGATGGTTGTTATGGCTTAATTGACTGTTACCAGGTGTCATTTGAAAGACTAGAAGACGTACTACTGAAAGAGATGATTTTGGTTGGTTTTAGGACAGGAAGTACCTTGAAATTGACTCAAAGTAGCAGAAATATTTTATTTTTGCTGATATTACTAAGGATGATCTGTTTTATGGGTTTTGAATAAGTCTGATTCAACTGTTGGAACACTGTAAACCATAAATAACAAAAAGGCACATAAAAGAGAGAAGCTTACGACGACGTTTCGGTCCGACTTGGACCATTGACAAAGTCACACTAACCAGAGGTGGAGCAGGACGGCTATATATAGGCAGGAAGAGGTGGTGGTAGTAGTAGTAGTACAAGAATTGTATATAATACCGACAAGATGAAATTAAGACACATGCACAACACCCGGGCATCCCCATCATAGACGTTTCGCCATCCAGCCGGCCACTGGATGGCGAAACGTCCACAACAAAGACAACCAGACGCCTCACATGTGTCTTAATTTCATCAGTAGTTGTAGTAGTAGTAGTAGAAGAAGAGGTAGTTAATGCCTCTGTGTGGACTCTAACTCCTTTTCCTTCCAAGGGAAATATTATTCTCAAACCTTCGGTGTCGCTATGGGTTCTCCTCTCTCTCCTGTCCTTGCTAATCTTTACATGGAATACTTCGAGACTGTTCTTCTTCCTACCCTCGATGTGCAACCTTCACTCTGGCTCTGCTATGTGGATGACATCTTTGCTCTGTGGCCTCATGACTCCAGTCTCTTCCAACCTTTTCTTGAAGCTCTTAATAATCTTGCCCCTTCCATTAAGTTTAAAGCTGAATGGGAATCTAATTCCTTGCTTCCTTTCCTTGATGTCCATGTCCACTGCTCAGATACAGGTTTTTCCTTTTCCGTTTACCGTAAACCTATGCACAGTGGCATGTACATTCACTACTTTTCCTATCATGCTTCCCCTGTCAAGAAAAGTGTTCTTATCTCCCTCTTTCTCCGTGCCCTCCGCATCTGTGATCCTCAGTTCCTTCCAGCAGAAATTTCCACTCTTCATAATTCGTTCTCCTGTCTTGGCTACCCTTCCCATTTCATAGACTCTGCCCTCTCACGTGCTAAATGCAATTTCCTCTCTCCCAAACTCTCTACTCATGGGAACTCTTCTATCCTCTGCCTTCCCTACATTTCCGGTCTTTCTAATCTCGATAAATTAGACACATGTGCAACTCTTGGGTATCTTTATTGAGGAAACGTTTCGCCACACAGTGGCTTCATCAGTCCATACAAAGGAGAATCTTGAAGAACAGGAGGAGAATGAGGTAATCAGTCCCTCAACCTTGAGTCGATGTGGTCAGTCCATCAATCTTGAATAGAATACGGCATACGTGCTGAGAAGGAGCTTATAAACCGTTGGCAGGAGAGGTGCAGCAGTCATAGGTCGTGTAACATTTGTTCAATGTTGAAGTAGGTCGTGCCCAAAAATTAGGCAAGCGAAGAATTCCCAAGTATTAAGATCCCAAGAAGTTGCAGTGTCTGACAGGTTTGTAGATGAATGGTTCAGAGAACCGACATGTTGATAAATTAGACACATGTGCAACTCTTGGGTATCTTTATTGAGGAAACGTTTCGCCACACAGTGGCTTCATCAGTCCATACAAAGGAGAATCTTGAAGAACCAATTCTCTCCGTCCCTTAGACATCAAGCTTACCTTCCGCCAGACTAACACTCTTCGCACTAATCTCGTTCATACCTCTCCTCCCTCTACAGATGTTCCTGGTGTCTACTCTATTTCTTGCTCCTCCTGTCCTCTTCAATACTTCGGAGAAACTGGTCGATCTCTTTCTGACAGACTTAGGGAGCACAAAAATAGTGTTAGGCTTGCCGACACTAACAATGCTCTTTTCTGTCACGTCAGAGATCATAGCCATCCTATTGACTGGTCTTCTGCTAAAACTGTCTTCCCTACTTCCAACTCGAACAGTCGCCGTCTAGTTGAATCCTCTCTAATACACAACTTTCCTTGTATGAACTTTAGCCCTGGCTTCGTCTCTGTAGATGCCTTCCTCTCCCACTACATTGTAAAATGCTCCAAACTTCAGAACACCCGTGACTTAACCTGAATCCTCATTTTTTCTTTTTCTTTTTATTCTTCCTCTTCCCCTTTCCTTTTCTCCTCTGGGTTGTCTTTCTCTCTCCTGTCTCATGTTTCTGTTCCTTCTTCATTTATTTCACCACTTCCCCTTTCACGCACCTCTGTGCGCTTGCTCTCCCTCTGTGGGCATCTGGCTTTCTTGCAGTGCTCCCCTTCCTTTGTATTTGACTGGCTCGTCATCCTTATTTCCCACTTCTACCACTACCACTACTACTACCTCTTCTTCTTCTACTACTACTACAACTACTGATGAAATTAAGACACATGTGAGGCGTCTGGTTGTCTTTGTTGTGGACGTTTCGCCATCCAGTGGCTGGCTGGATGGCGAAACTTCTATGATGGGGATGCCCGGGTGTTGTGCATGTGTCTTAATTTCATCTTGTCGATATTATATACAATTCTTGTACTATTACTACTACTACTACTACCACCACCTCTTCCTGCCTATATATAGCTGTCCTGCTCCACCTCTGGTTAGTGTGACTTTGTCAATGGTCCAAGTCGGACCGAAACGTCGTCGTAAGCTTCTCTCTTTTATGTGCGGGTTATTTGTGTACTGTAAACCATGACAAATCATTCCTGGTTATATTTTATTTCCAGGAAACAGAGTAAATCTTCTATTTTCATATGATTATAAATTCAAAAAGGAAGAAAAATGTAATACTGGAAAGGCATGGGGACATGATTAATGAAATATTGTTACAGTGCCAGTAATCTTTACATTGTTTATTTTGCCTTCTATTTTTAGAATGGTATTTTTCTAATTTTGTGTAAAATTGGCCAAATTACCTACTTCAGTGCACTTGATAAGGTAGTTATAATAGTTGAATGGGAAGTTTCTTGTGATCAATCAATAGAATGGAAGGCATACTAGCAAAATAGCTAAGAATTTGGTAATTGTGCCCAGACTGCTAACTTTGCACCTGTGTAATTCTGCAAGTCTTCCATAAAATTTCATACTTTAGAAAATGATTCTCTACCATTTCAAATGAATTTTTTTTTTTTAAAGTGCACAGTGGAGTTAATTTCAGGGGTCTGGAAAGTGAAAGGGTTAAAATAGTAATAATAATAACAATGCTTCAAAACATGCCCCCTCCCTGCCACTTCCCAACCAGACAGCCATCCTAACCCCCCCCCCATCCAGTATAAAAATTCTAGTGCCACTCCTGATTTTCAGGTTTGATCAGAGGAAGGGATGGGAAGATCTAGCAAGATAAAAGTATTTAACCTGAACAAGACTGGACTGCACCTAAATCTCTGATGAAATGTTTTTATTTAAACAAACTGCTGCAATTACAAAATAAAGAAATACAGTAAAGTATATACCACAAAGCTGTACCTGACTTGATGACTCAACATTAGAAAAAATCTGCTGAGATCCAACTGATCCTGTAACCTCTTTTCCTGAGGCTTCTGATTCACCTGTCAAAAATAAAACACAATTGAGTAATCTATCCTCAAATATTACTGTACATGGTTATGTATAACACTTCATTTAAGGTGCAAAATCACATTAACTAAAGAGACTCAAAATGGGAATTCCTATACAATAACAGTCCACTGCTGATAATCAATTTACTTGAACACTGACCTGGAACCTTTCTATTGTAGCAATTTTTTTTTTGCAGCAAAAAACAAAATAAAATCTTTGGAATATAAAGAATAACTTAATTTGTACTTACCAAGAAGTGAATGTACTGTCTTATTCTAAATCACAGCTACACTTATACTTTTATGTTCAGTAAACATCTTACTGCACCAATATTGAACTCTGCAACCACTTTCTACTCAGTTAGTATTCCTCTTTTTTACCTTTTCTGTGCAACTTCACTTCCTTGTCTGCACCTTCAGTTCTGCTTACTTTAAGACTACACTATTGTGGAGAAAACATTCACTTTCATAAAATTACAGAACTAATTACTCTTTAAGGACAATAGTGACTGACATGGTCATAACATCTCATGGTTGAGTGAAGGTAAAAATTTATTCAGTGTATTCCAGCACTGATGGGGTATCATGTGTGACATTGAGAATTGGTGACAAGTTAGCTAGTTGCATACATGATCACTTCCACCAATTATTGAAAAGTTGGCTCTTGGGAAGAGGAAGAGCCAACTTTTTGTGAATCCCATAGTGGTACCCTACAACTTCCATGTACAGATTTGTGAAACAAAGGATTCAACCAAAATCCCGAGCTAGTAGCAGATACCCACTTTCCCCATCCTCACTATTAACACCAGATTGAACAACCATCAAGTGGGGCTCTTCCCTAATTTCAACTATTATTAATAATTAGGTATCCCTGAAGGGGTATCTTTAAGAGGTTACCTTAATCTTTTAATTTTCTTGTCTCCTTCTTCCTCTAACTTTTTTATTTTTTCTAATAACTCCAGAATGCCTCATTCAACTGCCTTCAGATTTTCAACACTTGTGTGCTGTAATGTGGACCAAATTCTCAGACCTGGAATGTTTATGTGCCCTATGACCGAAGTTGTTGAGTCCATGCCTGTCTTCCTGGAATGGCTCAGATAACTTCAAAAATCTTCAGTGTTAATTAATGTACTTTCCTCAAAGGAAACACTCTCTTGATGTTAAGTTGTGTACAAGTTATCATGTACCAATTAAGGACTTACCAGATATTCAAATAAGAAAAAAAATGACCATACAAACGCAAGGAGGAGGGAAGAAAGAAGTAAACAGCAGTAAGACAAAAGGAGGGAAGAATAGTAAACAACAGTAAGACAGAATGAAATCTTTATGAAAGTTTGTAGAAGACAAACTAAACATGAAGATAAAATACAAATAATCAAGACTGATGATAAAATTACCAAACTGGAGGAGGAAATATGAGGGTTATTAAATACAGTGGGTGCTCAATTTTTCTTTTAAATTATATGGGGCAAAACCTTGACCAGATATTGTGCCATCCAATTATGCAAGTCATGTGGGGCTAGCTTGATAGAACAAGTCACTGAGTATTTTCAAACATCATTATACTTGAATCAACAAGTGAGAACGAATAAGGACATCAGAAACAGATGTGGGCTGTTCCAGTAACTAGACAATTAAGAGGTTAATCATTTCAATTACTTTTTTTTTTTTTTTGACATTTTACCCCTCTATTAGGCCTGCTGTCAGTGGTACTTATCTTTATATATGGCCACTGTGAAAGTGGCCATTTGACCATAATATGTGGTTAATTGTATTGTTAACAGTCCCAGATGTAATTGATCGGAACCCTAAAACAGCTAATCAAAATGACAGACATTGAATTATCTCAAAGAGGATGTAAGGAAACTACTACTGAATGCTAACAAGAAAAAAGCAGGAAAACCAGACTAGACACTGTAAAACCAGTGCATTAATTAACCCTTTCACTGGTGCCAGGGTATATCATGTAGATTTACATCTCAAGCTCAGTTCACTCTGGTAAGGTGTCAGTGGTAAATTTTGGCCTAAATATTAGAGACTGAGTCTGTGCAGTGAGTGTGCATAGTATAAAAGAAAAATCATGCCACTTTGTGTTTGGTTTAAAACAGCAAATTTCTAGGATAGTTTTTATGATTTTATTGGCTATTTCTTAGTATCATTTGATAAAATGGAAGACATACTACTGAAACAGAGATGATTTTAATTGATTCCAGGACCAGTAGTAGTTTGAGATCATTCTCAAAGTAGCAGAAATATTAGATTTCTGCTAATATTCCTGAGGACAGGTATGGCTGCCCACACCCCCAGGTCTGTTTTATGGGTTTTACTAGTTCTGATTCAATTATTGAATTCAACTGAAAATGGAAGGCAACTATAATAGAAGAGGCCTGGAGAGACCTGGGGGGGCCTGGGGAGGCCTGGGGAGGCCTGGGGAGACCTGGGGAGACCTGGGGAGGCCTGGGGATGTGACTAGTGAACAGAGGAAATGTTGTTTTAAGTGTCTGGAATGTCTACAGTGTTTTTTAGACTCTTGTTTTAAAACTTGATTTTTTAATTTTGATTAAAACTGACTAAATTATCAACTTCTGTGCAATTTATAAGATAGATGAATGGGCAATTTCTTGTGCATACTAGAGAAATGGCTAAGAATTTGGTTGAGTTGAGCACTAGAATTGGCTTAAAATAGGGTTCAAAGTAAGTTAAATCGCTGATGCATAAATTGTGCCTAGACCGCTAACTTTGTGCCTAAACAATTCTGTAGGTTTCTCATCAAATTTCGTATTTTTGGTGTCATTACCTTCAGAAAAAATTCTTCACCATTTCAGAAGAAATTTTTTAAACATGGACACTGATCATTTTTAATTTAGAAAAGTTTTGGGAGTCCATTTAAAAGAAGGCAAACTGAAGGGAAACAAACAGCAAAAGGGTACATGTTTTGCTAATATTTAAAAAAGTGAGAGGGAAGTCCCCTTTCAATTACAGGCATGTCTCGCTGACAAGTGTTGCTGTTAAAACTGGAAAAAAGTCATTAGAGAAAGAATTGCATAAAACATCCTGTTAATACTTTTTTATAGCAAAAATCCTGTAAATCAAATCTATTAAACTACTTGGACAATGTCCCAGAAATTGTTTGAGAAAAAATGGATTACGAGATATCAAAAATACTGTTGGATGACTATATATGGCCACTAGCGGTAAGTGTGTGTCTGACCAAGGTCAGGCAATGATGGTTAAGAAACCCTCAAGACTGGTCACAGTTATTTCAAAGGTTGAATTCATTTAGGATTCAAGAAAGCTCTTGACAGAGCTCCTCATGAAAGACAAGTCTGGAGAGTACAAAACAAAGAAGGAATAAAAGCTATATCATTTCACTGGATGAGAGACTTTCTGCCAGAAAATAAGAGTGAAAAGTGAATTATCACATAATAATAATAACTATCAAAATTTTTACCTAAACCTACTTAAAATAATATAATACTCACCTTTATTTCTAATGCAATTTTTCTTCAATTTAAGGGGGCCAGGGCGTATCTGGTTTTGAAGAGCTTTGCCTCTTGTAGAAACTTTGTTGATACATCTAGCAGAGTTGCTGCAGCCACTTGTACCAGGTAAGGTGCTGTCTTCAACAATACAGATTTCAACATTACTGCTTGGACCAACCTTTAGTTCACCATCCTCCTCTCTTTGACAAAAGCTTACAAAATTGCAAGCATTTACTTTTCTTCCTGAACAATCTTTCTGAACTGCTGACTGTCCAAAACTTTTGGCTATAGATTTACTTACTGAACTCATGTTCTGACCTGTCAACTGTTGAGAGGGTGACTGTATATCCAAAGTGGGATCTGGCTGCCCTAATGTCTCAACATCCTGAGCAGAATTGCTGGGTTCAGCATCAAAAATATTCTGCTGCTCGTTGTCATCAAATAACATGAAAGTTTTCCTCAAAGGGCGTTTATATGGCCTATTTACCCCTGAGCAAGGCTTACACTCTGTAATGTCCTCTGGAAATAATGAGACATCAACCTTACGTCTCTTGTTATTAGCCATTTTTTTTATTTCCGGACTAGACAAATCTTTATCTTCTGACATCTGACTACTTACTTTGATATTTTCCATGTTGTCAAATGTATCACCAATTTTCTCAACTTCGCCATCACATATCTTTGAGGATGAGACTTCGGGATATTCTATATTTGTGTCCTTTGGGGTTGAAGATCTCTCTATCTCTATTTGGTCAGATGTAAACTTTTGCCGTGAATGAGAAGAGAAAATTTCTAAATCATCCATATCGTCTGAATCATAAACAACACTTTTCTTATAATCTTGATTACTGTATAATGCTTCATCTTTTCTTTCTGGTAATTTTGGCTGTTTATGACTAAGACCCAAACTTAGTCCCCTTTTTCTCCTTTCTTTTTTTTCACGAGCAGCAATCCAGTTTTCATCATTGTGGCAAACATCAGGCAGAGAATCTTCTGACAAGTGAGAGTCTGCCTCATAAGCTTCAGATGCCTTACTAGAATTCCTTACAGATCTCCGTGGCGATACATTTTGATTACTAGCTTCTGAGTCTAAAACTTGTTTTCTAGTCTGAAATTTTGAACGTTCTAAGGAGTCCTTCAATCTTTTATCTACTGTAAGTGGGGATGACCACTTCATTTTATACATAATATTTTTAACTTGATATTCCCCCACACTTTTTACCATAGCATTAAACATTTCCAAAATTCTTAGGACACAGTCATGTGTCGATTCCTCTTTGTTCTTAAAATATGCTTTAGATGGTTTCTCTTTCTTACTCAATCGCTGCCTCTTGAGGGGGATATCAGGATTTTCTTCAATAAAAAACACATTTACTTTTCTTTTTCTGTCACTTTTAAAGTTATAACTAAGATTTTCCTCATTATCTGACAAATCCATGTTTGTAATTGATGTATTTTCTTTTTCTTCATCAACAAGTTGAGAATCATTTTTCGTGGTTGAACATCTAACTTCTTGTGATACTCTCTCTAGAATCATGTTTTCATCATCGATAGTCTTTTCTTTTTGTAATAGTTTATGGTTTTGTAATTTATTCTGATATTCCCTGGTGGGAAAAGACTGCAATCCAAGACCCTTTACCGTTGTGCCAGTGCTTAATGACTCGCTTGGAGTAGGGAGAATGAAATCATCATCATCATCATCATCAACTGTTGGCTCCAATGTATGTTGCATCGCCTGAACCTCAAGAGAGTTTGAAACTGTTGTCTCTTGTAAATTTTTAGCCTTTTTTGGGGGGCTGCTAGATGGGGCGAGATTTTCTAATGATTTCTTCTGACCGGTACCTTGAGACAATAATTGAACTCCATCCACTTCCCCAAATCCTCTTTGCCAACTATATCTGCTGCCATTTAAGGAGGAACAGGGCTGAGAGAGTAAATATGTTTGGCTCTGACATTTTTCTGATTTGACACTTGGTGATGGAACTACTTCCACACTAGATGATCTCTTTAATGGTCTTCTAGGCTCTACAATTTGACAGCTATTTGAAAAATATTTATTTTTTTTATCACATTTTGAAATATTACTAGAGTCTTTCTCTTCTACTTCAACAGTTTCCTGATTGGCAGTGGATGTTGTGAACGACTGACTGTCATTCACCTTATTAATTTGCTGACAACGTCTTCGAGGAATTGTTTTTAACACATTTGTGGCTTTTGAATTTTGTGACTCACAAAATAAGTCCTCTTCTGAATTAGAAGGTTGAGCTTGAGATTCTCCTGCTTTACCTGGAGAAGGCTGGTTGTTAGCCACCATAGTTGCTGCATGAGTTAAGGAACAAGGTGAAGGAGACTCACTTGATACCATCACTTCTGGAGACCCTGAACAGACAAGATCTAAGTCAGGAGTAACAGAACCACTACCTGAGAGGCAGTTTGTGTCAGCTCCATCTTCTGAGGGAAGAGCCACAACATCAGAGTCACCAGAATTTTCTTCATTTCCATGCTCAGCACTAGAACCAACTTCACCCTGACATTTTTCCTGCAGCAGAGATATATATTGGTTTAGATATCAAACATTAACGACACTTTCCAAAATTATATATTTTATTTATTTTCTTAACACATCAGGCATCTCCCACCAAGGCAGGGTGGCCCAAAAAAGAAAAACTTTCATCATCATCCATTCCATCACTGCCGTGCCAGAAGCGCTTACACTACAGTTATAAAACTGCAATATTAACACCCTCCTTCAGAGTGTAGACAGCACTCAAGTCTGGCCTGCTGGTTTCCCTGAATCCCTTCATAAATATTACCTTGCTCAAACTCCAGCAGCACATCAAGTCCTAAAAACCATTTGTCTCCATTCGCTCCTCTCTAACACGCTTACACATGTTTGCACACAAAACCTCCTTTACCCCCCTCCCTCCAACCTTTTCTAGGCTGACCCCTACCCCGCCTTCCCTCCACTACAGATTTAAACACTCTCGAAGTCATTCCATTTCCTTCCATCCTCTCTACACGTCTGAACCACCTCAACAACCCTTCCTCAGCCCTCTGGATAATAGTTTTGGTAATCCCACACCTCCTCCTAATTTCCAGACTATGAATTCTCTGCATTATATTCACACCACACATTGCTCTCAGACATGACATCTCCACTGCCTCCTGCCTTCTTGTTGCAACATTCACCACCCATGCCTCACACCCATACAAGAGCGTTGGTATAACTATACTCTCATACATTCCCCTCTTTGCTTTCATGGATAGTTCTTTGTCTTCACAGACTCCTCAGTGCACCATCACCTAATCTTTTTGTTATCCTCATAACCTTACTCTTTCCTATATTCACTTTTAATTTTCTTCTTTTACATACCCTACCAAATTCATCTACCAACCTCTGCAACTTGTCTTCAGAATCTCCCAAGAGCACAGTGTCATCAGCAAAAAAGCAACTGTGACAACTCCCACTTTGTGTTTGATTCTTTATCTTTTAACTCCACACCTCTTGCCAAGACCCTCGCATTCACTTCTCTTACAACTCCGTCTACAAATATATTGAACAACCATGGTGACATCCCACATCCCTGTCTAAGGCCTACTTTTACCGGGAAATAATCTACCTCTTACCTACATACTCTAACCAGAGCCTCACTATCCTTGTAAAGACTCTTCACTGCTTTCAATAACCTACCTCCTATTCCATACATTTGCAACATCTGCCACACTGCCCCCCTATCCACCCTATCATATGCCTTTTCCAAATCCATAAATTTGAAGCACACATCGCCTGCGGAATACACTCTGCTTAGCTGTGGGTTAGACCACTGAATCAACAGGGGAGACCTACTGCTATGCCCTGTCACCCTCTGCCACCCCCACCACCCTCCAACACTCCCACCACCCTTGTCCCAGCTGGTTCATACACAGTGTAGGACCATCCTCTGCTAGGAGCTAGCTGTGTTTATTTTTGTTTGTGGATTGAATTTAGATCTTTTAATTGCCATATCTTAAATCTGCCAAGCAATCATGGCACCCAGTAGGCATACAAGTGTTGCTGAAAGTGGAGTTACGAAAAAAATCAAGATAATAGTCAAGCTTAAGAGTGGCTCATGCATGGTGGATACAGTGAGGGCCTTAATGAAGCATCAGTTCATACGATTAAAAAGAATGAGGCAAATGTACAAGCTTGTGTAATGAATAACCCAAGATATCATCTCATGAAAAGAATGACACACAGATCACAAGTAAATAAAACTTGTTGCTTAAGTGGACCGAACAAAAGACAAAGGTGCACCACTTAATTTAATCTTAACCCTTTGACCGTTTCAGTCGTATAAATACGTCTTACGAGCCAATGTTTCCAACGTATTAATACGCGTAAACTCTAGCGGCTTCAAATCAAGCAGGAGAAAGTTGGTAGGCCTACATGAGAGAGAATGGGTCTGTGTGGTAGGTGTGCACCCTGTGAAAAAAATCTGGGACTCAGTGGTGCATTGTGGGAACGCCATCTTGGTAGTCCATTTTCACCATGCCCCGCGGTAAGAAGTACCTCACTCCTCGGTGGATTGGAGGTCTACTGTTCCCGAGTGATAGTTCTAACAGCGATGAAAGTGCCAGTGAAAGTGAATTTCTTGGTTTTAGAGAGGGTGTGACCGACAGCAGTGCCCAGGATTACGCAATTAGTGATGAAAACCCAGATGACCCACAACCATCCACCTCTAGTGCTGGCACATTTCATTCACGTTCACCTGTACGAGGACGAAAAAGGAAACTACAGTGGTCCCTCAGTAATCGTCCGGCTCGATAGTCATCCTTTTCAGAAATCATCGCGTTATTCTCGTCCAAACATTGGCTCACAAATGGTCGGTTTACTAATAATCGTCCTTCGTCCGGGACGCGTACTCACACTCTGAGCCGCCTCGGCCTCCCTCCCCAGCCAGTGTGCCATTGTTTACCAGTGAGCGACGGTCCCCTCACTTGTTAATACGAAATATTTCATAATACAGTATTCCATTCATTTTAGTGCTTGCAAGTGCTAAATAAGCTACCATGGCTCCAAAGAAAGCTCCTAGTGCCAAGCCTTTGGTAAAGAAAGTGAGAAATATGACTGAATTTAAGAAAAACATCATTGAACAATATGAAAGTGGCGTACGTGCGGCCAAACTGGCCAGCTGAGGAGCTGCAAGAGCTTCAGCAGAAACAGGAACAGATCACAGCTCAGAATCTTGCTGAAGAGGAGGAGGAAGAGAGATGGAAGAAGGTGCCTTCTTCAGAAATTAAGGAGATTTTTGAAATGTGGGGTAGGATGGAAAGATTTATGGAGAAACACCACCCTGAGAAGGATGTTGCAAGCCATATCGGCAACTTGTACAGTGACAGAGTCATGGCCCATTTTAGAGAAATTTTAAAGAGACGCCAGAAACAGAGCTCTCTGGACACTTTTTTTGTGAGACAGGACTCCAGTGACTCTCAAGCTGGTCCTAGTGGCATTAAGAAACAGAGAAGAGAAGTAACCCCAGAAAAGCAATTGGTACCTGAGGTGTTGATGGAAGCGGATTCCCCTTCCAAACAGTAACTAATCCAATCTCTCTCCTCCAGTCTTCCATACACTAAGAAGAATCGCCAATAAAGGTAAGTGTTATGCTGTTAATGTTTCATTCATCATGTCCCATTGTATTGTTTATGTACTACGTCTATATTTCGTGTAAAAAAAATTTTTGTTTTAATACTTCTGGGTGTCAGGAATGGATTAATTGTATTTACATTATTTCTTATGGGGAAAATTGATTTGAAAATCGTCTTTTTCGATAATCGTCGCACTTCTAGGAACAGATTAACAACGATAAATGAGGGACCACTGTATTTCCCCGTTTACAGGACTCATATCTGAGCAGTGAAAGTGATAATGACAGTGATTTCAAAGTCATTGAAAGCAGCTCGAGTTGCGACAGTGAGGGAGAATATTCGCCAGTGAAATGGCAGTATGTACGACGCAGCATGCGTTCTGGTAGTGTGCTTTATGCCCTTCCAAGGCAAAGGAGTAAATCTGGGAGTACATCCCGCGGCCCTATACCACGACCTGACAGTGAAGATGACGATATTGTTACAATGGGGATGTGAAATGTGCATGGGGAAGAAGGTGGTGGCGGCGGTGATGTTGGCGGTGGCATGAGTTATGTGGCACCAGCAGCAGGCCACACTACTACCGACGCTGCTGACTCTGCACAACCACAACCAGCCTCACCCAATCTCACACTCCCACAACATCCACAACCACCTTTCAATATCCAGAACCCACCAGCAGACCGCATCTGGGATTGGCAGCAAGGTGACAATTTTATTCCCAATCCCCACAACTTTGATGAAACACAAAGTGGAATACGGCCATCGTGTACACTTGGGAACAATGCCACTGAACTAGAATACTTTCAGTTATTCTCTGATGAACCCCTGATGGAAATTGTCAGGGAAAGCAACACATACTATGAGTACACCATGGCAAATACAATTCTTTCACCAAGGTCACGGCTACACAAGTGGAAGGACACAACTGTGGCAGAGATGTACCTGTTCTTTGCCACAATAATGCTTATGCCACATGTGTATAAGCATACTGTCACCACATACTGGTCGATGGAACGTCTGATTTCAACCCCAGGTTTTAGTGATATTATAGGGGTGAATCGTTTTTTGATACTGTTACGTATGTTACACTTTTCAGACAAAACAAGGCATGGCCTAAAGGGACGGGTTATATAAGATCAGAAATGTGTTTATGTACCTGAAACAAAAGTGCTGTATGTATTTTTATCCCTTCAGGAAGCTTGTTATTGATCAGTCTTTGATTTTGTTCAAAGGAAGGCTCTCATTCAAGTAGTATATACCAAGCAAGAGGAAACGCTTTGGCATAAGTTATTTGTACTGTGTGATTGCAAAAGTGGTCTGGTTTTGGATATAACTGTGTACACTGGCAGTAATACAGTGGACCCCCTCATACCGTTGGCATCACATAACGTTAAATCCGCATACAGATACATTTTATCGCTAAGATTTTGCCTCGCATACTGCTAAAAAACCCGCGCAACGCTATACGTCCGAGACGCGTCTATGCGAGGCCTGAGCCAGCCTCACATGTTCCGCCGGTGGCATTGTTTACAAGCCAGCCTCCGCGGTAACATCCAAGCATACAATCGGAACATTTCGTATTATTACAGCGTTTTTGGTGATTTTATCTGCAAAATAAGTGACCATGGGCCCCAAGAAAGCTTCTAGTGCCAACCCTGTGGTAAAAAGGGTGAGAAATATTATCAAAATACTGTGGTACCATGGTCAACTGCTGCTGCTGTAGCACTGTCAGCTGCTGCTGCTGCTGTAGCACCGTCAGCTGCTGCTGCTGCTGTAGTACCATCTGCTGCTGCTGTAGCACCGTCTGCTGCTGCTGTAGCACTGTCAGCTGCTGCTGCTGTAGCACTGTCAGCTGCTGCTGCTGCTGTAGCACCGTCAGCTGCTGCTGCTGCTGCTGTACCACCGTCAGCTGCT